ATAAATACACTGTATAGAGCAGAGGACTGGCATCATTCTGAGACCTGTTCTTAAAATCTTGCCTTTACGGTAGCCCAAAGGTGAAAGTTCTTAATCCAATTTTTATTAAAGTCTTAATGTTTGAAATAAATCCATTTCTTGCTTCTTTCCTTTAGTCTAGCAAATGCTATAGAAATGAAGTACAGAGGACATTGTAGATCATTTATGTGCCAGAAAGGCGTGTGTCTAAAAATTCTTCTTTTGATATTCATATGCGTGCTATTGCTTTAAGTTTTCTAATACTTGCATGTATACTGCTAAAGCGTCTCATAGGCATGCATATGTGTATCTTGTGACTTGTCTCAAAGTATTGCTTTGCTTCCAGGTGAATGGACAATGTGCTGGACACACAGCTATGCAAGCCGCTAGTCAGAATGGCCATGTCGATATTTTGAAGTTGCTTCTGAAACAGAATGTGGATGTAGAAGCAGAGGTAACCCAAGTATTTCAAAACACACTTTCTGTCTCCTTAAGTTTTAAACTTTGCTACATACGGAAATAAAAATTTATTGGAGTTGCCTTCTGTTTGAATGTCAGAGAGTGAAAAACTGCTTCTTACTGTGATTATGTTCCTAAATTAGCCTCCTACTAAGGATATTATAAAGGGTCAATATCCCATTCTTCAGCACCTCCAATTAAGTGAAATATAATGCTAACGTAATAGAGCTAGTATGTGATTGTAGTGGATGATGCCCCTTCATTATCTTCTTTCTTTCGTTTCAACAGTAGAATACAATAGGCTAGCATGCTGCCTCTGACATTCAGAGAAAAAGATGTTGTCGGATGCTGCATCTCCAACTTCAGATACTTGCCATGCTTCTTATACACAGTGTTCAGTTGAGAGAAAGTTTTCCATTCTCAAATGAAGCAACTTTGAGCAGAAAGTAATAACAGTATGTTTGGGTAGGAGCTACCAAATCTGCTTCCAGGTTTTCAGTTGTTTTTTAAACTTCACCCAAAATGGAAGGATTTCTTTTGTTTAGGTTTTTTTTAGAATTGTTTGTGAGAAAATTATCTATAAGCATACTGTGATATTTGCATTTTGAATTTATTTTGCCTTATTGCTTACATAGAATGCATTGATATTGCAGCCTTTGCTCTCTTTATGAAGCACAAGAAGGATCTGTTAAATTTCTCTCATTAAGATTATAAATTAAAGCCTAATAGAATGCTTAGGAGTTAATAATATGCCCACTCATTGTTTGCATAACAGAAAAATAACTTTATATGCTTAGGCATTTAGCTTTATATTGTATCTGATATACAGAAGTTATAACATGTTAATACATTAATGAAGCAATTATGCAATCCTTGGAACTAAAATTATTTTTATATTCACAGATACACCATTGCTTTATAAAGGTTTCTGCTATATGGTAAAGATGGCTTGGATTTGATGCAGTACATAGAATCATAGAATGGTTTGGGTTAGAAGGGCCCTTAAAGATGATATAGTTCAGCCCCGCTGCCATGGGCACCTTCGACTATACCAGGTTGCTCAAAGCACCATCAAACCTGGCCTTGAACACTTCCAGGGATGAAGCATCCACATCTTCTCTGGGCAACCTGTTCCAGTGTTTTACAACCCTCATAGTGAAAAATTTCTTCCTTATATCTAATCTAAATCTACCCTCTTTTGGTTTAAAGCCATTGCCCCTTGTCCTATCACTACAGGCCCTGATAAAAAGTCCCTCTCCAGCTTTCTTGTAGCCCCCCGTTAGTTACTGAAAGGCTGCAATAAGGTCTCCCTGGAGCCTTCTCTTCTTCCAGGCTGAACATCCCCCAACAACCCCAACTCTCTCAGCCTTTCTTCACAGGAGAGGTGTTCCATGATCCCTCTGACCATTTTTGTGCCCCTCCGCTGGACCCACTCCAATAGGTCCATGTCTTCCCTGTGCTGAGGGCTCCAGAGCTGGACACAGGACTCCAGGTGGGGTCTCACCAGAGTGGAGCAGAGGGGCAGAATCCCCTCCCTCGACCTGCTGCCCACACTGCTTTGGATGCAGCCCAGGATACAGTTGGCCGCCTGGGCTGTGAGCGCACATTGCCGACTCATGCCCAGCTTTTCATCAGCCAACACCCCCAAGTCCTTCTCGGCAGGGCTGCTCTTGATCCCTTCATCCCCCAGCCTGTATTGATACTGGGGGTTGCCCCAATCCATACACAGGACCCTGCATTTGGCCTTGTTGAACTTCATACATACTACATGCTTGCTACTTGTTGTGATCTGATTTCTGGGAAATAGTTCCATTTTAGAAGTAGCGCTTTCACTGCAGTAAATAACATACACTGTTATAAACTAGAGTAAACTCCTTTTCATCTGTACTATGGGATCAAAGCTACTGTTTTAATGAAGTGGTGGACTGATACTTTCTTCTCTGATATAAGGAAGCATTAAAGCGAAGTAGAAGCACTGCTTAAACATCTTCATGATAATATACCTGGTAATCGGCTAGCAGTAGAATTGTTAGGAGTTCACATTTGCTGAGGCTTCAGAAGTATCATAACATTAGCGTTAAAAATATTTTCAGGGATTTTTATTTGAATTTTCAAGACTTTTTCATGTAACTTTAAGTTATTTAAGTGAAGATGATATTCCTAGTCAATTACATAACTGCATTAATTATAATAAACATGTAATAATGTTAGATTAATCAATATATGTTTCAGGCTTTAAAAAAATGTCAGCTGTCTATAAATTAGTGGTGTGAAGGTGCAACAGAGTCATCCCATTATGCAGAGAGCAAAAGTTTAGTCCATTTACTTCACTGTTGTGGTCTGTGACATGGAACCAATGGCTAAAAATCCTTACTTGGCCTGCCTTGTAGCTAAATTGGATATATTTACACTTGCAGTCACTGCTGCAGAGTATAAACATTAATGACATTTTCTGGGGATGCCCACATATTGCCTCCTCTGTCCTTATGTCTCTGACAGCTTAACATAGAGTACAAGTGGCCTCTTTTTAGTCAGAAAACAATCTGATACTGACAGAGCTCAAAAAGCCTGATGTAGGTATTCCATGGTAAAAATGTGTGGCCTTCTAGTCTGCAGAAATTAATGGGTATCAGTTATTATATTGACAGTACTGACAATATTATATTGTTGGCATGTATAGAAATACAGTGCTTTTAATATTAAGATTTATATCTAATTATAAATCTTATGATAGATGCTTAATTAGTTGCTAGCTTTTTGTAGGTATATTAATATGTTATTGTGTAGAAACTGCACAACAGGATGTGTAGTTTCTACAACATTTAGATGATTTTTTTTTGATGCTGTGCTAAAAAAAAAGGCATGTGCTTTCTTGATCTCTACTCATTAAAGTAAGAATTCTATACATTAAGATTTCCTAAAATCAGAGGTTTGTATCTCAAATGTGGAATACACTAAAACTAAAATATTTAATAAATGATATGGGGTTTCATCAGTAAGTATCTCAGTGTACCTTGCAAACTGCAAATATGAAAAGACAAATTACCACATACCTGTGAAACGAAGTGCTCTGTAAATATAAATGTTATAGCAGTTTAACACCACTTGATAAGTTTCACCTCATAATGATCTTTATAACCAGATGAGAAATACAAAGTTCCCCTTTCTGATCCTTTACCCTTCCAAATGGGCAAGATCTGTCTTTTGACTGAAGGAATCCTCCTATCTTAGAAGACAGTTTTGCAGTGTGAGTTGATTTGGAAGGAATAAAAATACCTTGTTTGTAAAAGCTATTGAAGCTGCTGTTTAGTGCCCTGATGGTTTTGAAAATTGTATTCATATTTCCAAAAATATATATATTATAATTAGCAGATTATAAGGAGATTAGTCTCCTTCCATCATTTTTTAAAATGATGTAGTCTCATAGTTATCTTGTAATTGTGCAAATAAAATTTATTCTAAGAACTATTAGTTTTTGCATTGATGTAAAATATACTAGAACTGTGTTATACATAACAAAAAGAAGTTTTGAAAAACATTGCTGAAGGGGAAGCAAATTGATAAGAGAAACTAAGTTTACCCAAGGGAGATATCCAGTACACCTTTTATCTCCTCCTTACAATTTCAGTATTTTTGTATTGTCAAAATTAAATCCTACAATATTACGTGGTAATATTCCACTGTGCACAAAAATTTAGTTAGGAACTAGCTTATGGAAGTTGTTATTGCATTGAAACCTATTATATAAATTCCATTTTACTTTTAACTTTTGTATACTGTCATTAATGTTGAAATCACTTAATATTTTAAAATGTTTCATGTATTACAGTCCACTCTTACGGATGTTAAAAAAAGCCAAACTGACAAATTTGACTTTCATACCTTAATTCTCAGTTTGGATGAAGCTGAAACAAACTGAATTTAATCAGAGCTTTAATGCTCTGAATCATCATCATAGAATGAGAATTTCTAATTAATTTCAGTATTGATCCCAGATTTCCTTTGGAAAAGCTTTATTAACTGAAAACTAAGACACGTATAAGAAAACCTAATAAATATTAGCCTAATTGTATGAACAAAGCAATTCTCTTGTCTTATACCATGATTTGGAATATCTAACACTTCTAGGGTTACAGAAAGGGTTACTTAGTGTAATGTTTTTGGGGTTTTGGGGATTGGGGTTTTGTTTGTGTTTTTTGGTTGTGGGTGGGGTTTATTGTCTATCTTTTTTCCGTTTTTTGGTTTTGGGTTTTTTTTTTTAGGTGGGTTTTGGGGGTTTTTGACAGTGGTGGTTTTGTAGTAGAAATCCAAATTAATCCATTTCAGTTTCTCATGAACACATCACACAAGGATTCATAGCAATAGTTGTATATGGTACAGAATATCAGATGTCATAGAATATGTATGTTTATATACAAACAGACTCTTCATTCTCTGTTGCTGTGGTTTGAGCAACTCTTTTAGATATTTGAATGCTATCGTGGTTGTTTAATTTTTCTTTAGAGAAATCAAATATGCAACAGTAGTTCAGCTTAGATTAATCTTGTTTAAATGCAAAGGAAATGTGGAATATACTGGGTCAAATTAATGTTTCTATGTTAGGACAAAGACGGAGACAGGGCTGTCCATCATGCAGCCTTCGGTGATGAGGGTGCCGTGATAGAGGTTTTGCACCGAGGCAGTGCAGATTTGAATGCTCGCAACAAACGCAGGCAGACTCCACTTCATATTGCTGTCAACAAAGGTCATCTGCAAGTTGTGAAGACTTTACTGGACTTTGGCTGCCATCCTAGTCTCCAGGTAAAGTAAATATATTAATATAGATTCATTTTTTAGCTACTGAATTTTATGATTTGCTTTGTGTAGATGTGTGTAGGTGATAGAAGAATTATGGAAATGGGGTTGAAAGGAGTGGACTTTGTGAAACTATCTGTCCCAGCCTCTACCCCAACATGTGATCAGCTGTAATAAAAATGCTGTTAAATCTATTTGTTTTCTTGACAGCTAGATAGGCACTATCTGATTTATTCTAGCCAATTGATGTTAATTGCTATTTTCACAGACTGTAGTTAACTGTATTGTTAACTTTCTCTCCAGATAAATTTCTCCTCTGTCGAATCCACAGCTATTTGCTCCCCCTGCAACCTACAGCTTTGCATTTTTTGGCTGATGATACTATGGACTGTTTCTTTAAAAGAAACCTTTTTTTCAGAATTGACCTATTATTGATAGAACTGTTTAGCCAGTTTCTCTTTTAAATGTTCAGCCTTTTATCTAAAAAGCCCTCATACAAAGGGCCTCAAGTACTATAATTTCACAGGGAGTTTTACCTGTAATGAATGTGGCAGAAGATGTGAAATATGAGTGCAGCCTCCTATTGAGAGAGTAGAAACCTGCTATCAAATAAGCAAGCATCCACATTCTGCATGAGCTGAATGCAGCTGCAGGCAGTGGATTAGTAAAACAAATCAGAAAGGGTAAGTTTGGAGAGGTTTGCAACAGAAAGAAAAAAGCTGTAACATTGGGCAAATCAAGATACGCAGTAATAACACATTTACCTCCTTGTTTTGCCATGTCAATAATCCGTGATTTTTTTTGAAGCTGTATATCCACATAACAAACAATGAGCAAACTTTCTTGAAATTAGTGAATATAGTGATTGTTTATTTATCTGCTTCCACCTGGCTTTATAGGTGTACTGTCTTGCTTTTGTTGAGGTTGAGCTGTTAGCCAGCTAACATCCATCCAGACCCTATTTAGTATTTGTTGAGCAGTAGATATAATAAGGAGTCTGATGTGTTGAGCCCAATAAAGGGTGACCGTATATTATATAATGATATGTGAAATATGGGTAGCCAAAGTGGATGTGTCTGACTTTGTAGAATTCTGTTTGGATTGAAAAATTCAGTAGAATGGTGCTATGATACTCCATCTGGAAAATAATAATTGTCATTGGAAATAATGAACTTTCAGATCCTACATGTGTGCTGAGGAACTCCAATGTGCAAACGTGAGTAGGCGATTGATTTGTTGGATGAGAGCACAGGGGAGTCAGACTGAGGCATGACTGGAATTTAACTGTCCAGCACTCCACTACTCAAGCTGATAGATTCACTGTGTAAACAGAAACATATGTTAGTCTGTAAACAGTAAATTCGGGAAATATGATCAATTAAACCAAATAAAAGCTACATAATTTAGTTTTGGCAAACTGGTTCACACTGGTTCAAGTGTTTCCATTTTCTGGCACTTTTTGGCAGTTTTTGATTCTCATTGTAAAGATTTGTTTTCATATTAGTGTATTGCTAAAATGATCAGTTCCTGTGTCAGTTTGCAGTTGAGTCAGTGTCAGTGACAAAAGACTTACTGACTTATATGGTGTTAGAATTTTACTGGAAGCATAAATTTAAAGAGTTTGCCTACATAGCAGCAAATAAGCTTAAATGGATGTGTTTTCTCACTGTTAGTCTAGGACATTCCTTTTCAGTCCAACCATTTGGTTACTTGAATAAATAATGTACAAAATGCTTCTAGAAATAAAAAGTATTTTTCCCTTCTTTGGGATATTTGAAAAATAAAAAGTCAAGCTAAAAATATAAATTCTTTGCCTGTTCAATTTCGCACTGAAATATTTTCATGTACCTTGTGTAATGTAACCTGGTATTGGCCATAACAAAAATTTAAAAGCTTAATATTGCTTATGACAGTCACCTTTGCTTCATGGAAAATGATCTGCTTCAGTTAAAACAACAGATGTGCCTAAGTTTGTTACTTGGGCTGCATTTTATTTTTATTTGCTTATGCTTTTATTTCATGCTGTCTTTTTTATATTGTCTTTTACATGGTTAATTGCTGGCTCAATCATAGCATTCATTACTCAGAATTCCCTGCCTTGATCTGCCTATGTCTAAGTCTGTGTGTCTGTTGCATTAGTTTTTGTTGCTGTCCTATTATTCATAAATTGTAACTTGGACATCAACTCTGCCTGGATATGAGGGATAGAGAAGCTGATGCCTACACCAGTGTCTTCCATACTGTCTGATGCAAGGCATAGTTGAGCTCTGGGTTTGATTTCTGGTAGTAGTGTAATTGTAGAATACTGGAGCCCTAGGTAGGGTTACCCACTGAAGCATTTGCAAAACCAGAGCAAGCTGAGAAGCAGTATAGCAACATTTTAAGATCTGAAGAGCTGTCTTGTGTTTCTGTAGTAAGTTGTACTAGTGATATTTAAGCACCTTTTTTCTTTAATGCATGCAGAAATCGATGTAAGCTGTTTCTGGTTTTAGGATTCTGAAGGTGATACTCCACTTCATGACGCAATAAGTAAAAAGCGTGATGACATCCTTGCTGTATTGTTAGAAGCTGGAGCAGATGTTACTATCACCAACAACAATGGGTTTAATGCTCTTCACCATGCTGCACTAAGAGGAAACCCGAGGTAAAGATTTATTTTTAAAGATAATTTTGTCATTTGTGAAAGGCAGGCAAGTGCATGGCAGGGTAGAATTATGCTATTCTTTCAAAAGATCCTTAAACCTGCATGTAATTTAAATTTTCGTGTTGCTTAGATATGCATCTTTCTAATACTTGAGAAGCCATTATTAGAGTGAAGCTACTAGTCTCCTTAGTTTAATGCTGTATCCAGATAACTCCAAATCCCTGGGAAGTTTCCTGTGGTGGTTGTAAGATTTTCCCAATAAATGTTCTCATAAGTAAGTTGTTAAGTAAGATCCTAAGATGGGATCTTAAGATACGATTTGTAAAAATGTTTCCATTCTCGAGGATTGGAATTGGGACAGGGATTTGAGTTTTTAAGGAATACTATTTGTGAATAATTATTAAATATACCATGCAGTTATAAAATGAGATCTTAGGATTGTTGTGTTAAGTTGTATTTGTCAGTATAAGAAACATTTAATTTTGTTTTCTTAGAAGTATGTATAGAAGGAATTTCATATTTCAGCTTTTATATAGCAGATCATCTGAAAAAAAGGCATAATTTGTTTTATGCTATCTGCATACTATACATCTACTTTCAATCTCCAGTTAAGATAGCTTTCAAAAACTGCATAGATAGAACTTAATGGAAAAGTTGCTGCATTGCCGGTTGCTTATTACGTTGTGGATAAATGGTATTCTTCAGAGCTGTCATTCTAGGAAGTCTATAATAGTGTTTTATTGTATGGTGGAGAATTCAGTATAACCACGATAAGAAATGTGTTTACTTGTTTAACTTTTCACTCAACTGAAAAGTAGAATTTAGTAGCAGTTGGACAAATAAAGCTGTGTATTAATATATGGGAAAAAAGTCTGGGTTAGTCGCTTCAAATGTAACTATCAAGACAGGTAGTTAAAAAGTAAACATAAGCATTTATATATATGGGATGGAATCACACTTCACAAAGTGAAAGTAGTGGTTGGAAGTGTTGATAGAAACAATAAATGTGTTTACAGTTATCTACAGTGCTCATAAAAGCTCTGTAAGAGAATGTGTCAACGACCTAGTGAAGGGAGCTTAATTTTGGCATTCAGAAGACAATTCTTTCAAATGTGATTTGGTAACTTCTTTACTTAATGTGAATTCTCCATATTTACATAACAGCATTTGCCAGGAGTACTGTTTCCTGTCTCCAGTTACCTAGGTGGGTTATCCTGTGTTAGTTTTTTGTTCTGCAATGCTTTCCTTAAGCATCCGTTTCCTCTTGTGATAGCTGATTTGTGTGATTGTGATCTCAAGACGAGATGCAAGGAAAGCGTATAGAAAAAAAGCTCTTTGTAGGGATGCTGTAGATTTTTTCTGTGGGTGAACGTTTTAGGAGCGACAGGCTTTTTCTTTGATGGAGGGATCCAAATTGTAGTTCAGACTGGGTCAGTTTGGTGGTTGGTAGAATGTGAGGCATAGTGCAGTTTTTCCCAGAGCCCTGTGTCCTTTACAGAACAGTAATTGGAAGAATTGTAACTGTTTACAGAACAGTTATTGGAAGAATATGAAAATATTTCCAATATTAATGATTTGAATCGTGTGTAGATTCCCCTCATACATGGGGTGTCACTTGCATCTAAACCACTTGGATATCTAAAGCTGTTAGACATCTACTCTTTTGGTTGCAGTTAAATCTGAGAGCTTCTGAAGAAGCTTCTCTTCTTTCTGTAAAAAGAGAGAGTGTTGTCTCCATCACTGACGTAGTAGGTTTTTTTTTTCACAGCATTAGAAATTTTGCACATCAGCCTGAGAAGAAATTAATGAAAATAAAACCAAAATAAATCTATTTTGAATAATTTTTTTTCCCCTGGCCAAAAAAATCATTATAATAGTTTGATTCATTTAGGAGTTAAGTTTTATTTTCTTTAAGACTTTAGTCACTTATTTCATTGTTGATTCTGTAGTTCTACCACTGGCCTGTTTCTGAATGAATCCAAAGGCTTTATATTGCCACTTTGTTTTTCTAATCTGATACAGAACAATGGATATTACTAATGTGTTAAATGCACTAAGCACAAGCTATTTAAAACACTGTTAATAATAACCCCCTGAACTTTAGCTTGTAGCTGGTATGGGTCACAAGCAGTACATCGTATATTCTGCTTGAAACCTTACTTAAGGACCTATCTTTCCTCATCTAAGCTTTCCTATTTCACCTAAACTGGAGTTTCTGTGGCTTCAGGCTGTGGTGCCTTATATGGAATGCAGTGCACTAAATTCCCCTTAAGGTCAAATATATAAATATATTATGTTATTTTATAACAGTTAAACATATATTCATATATGTATACAAGCACATATGCATATGTGTATGTTGCTACTTATAAAAATAAAATACTTGCTATGTACAGAAGTATTGATAAAGTCCACGTCCATCTTCCTTGCTAATGATAATAAACTAAATCCATGTGTTAAGTGTGTGGATACCACAATAAAGTGAACTACATTTCTATAGCATTTTTTACAGTTGATATCAAATAGGTATTTGGAACCAATTTCATTTTCAGTGCAAAACGTGTTCTGCTTCTTGCTTGAGTTCTGACCTTTACTAACAGTAGGGAGATAGATCTCCCAAGAAAAACCCACACAAACTATGCTGAGAAGAACATTTGAAAATTTTCCATTTTTAATATGAAAATAAATATATTGTAACCATTTGAATATTGAATAAACCATTATTTTTCTTATTATATTTATGTCAAATAGCTTAGATTTTTCTCAGTACTTAATCTTCCATGACAGTTTGGCAGTGTTTTCCAGAAGTCAAGGTATAGTGTGTTTTGGAGAGCATCCTATTGTTAGTGGAATATGTCTCCTTTTAATAATTTGCTTCTCCTCATACCTTGTGAATTGGTACAGAAACAGAACTTCTGTTTTTCTTGCTAATGTATAATGTGGAAATGTAGAATGAATGATGTTCAGTTTATGCTGTAGGTAGCTTTAAGCTTGTGCATGGGAGCTACAGCTAAAAAGAAATTTTAAATCAAGTGTGGGGAAGTTAAGATTTTATTTAATACATGGTTTCTTGTTCATGATTTTTAACTGAGTCAGTCATATTAAAAGTGTGTGTATTTGGACTGTTTCCAAAGTACTGTGAACCTCGAAGCATGTCAGACTTTGCTTCTTTAGTGTTAATGAGATTTTTCAGACAGAAAAAAGGAGAGTAAAATTTGAAAATACTGTACAGATTGGTTATTTTTGCCATGTTATCAACTCCTGGCTATGTTTGATCTGTTTGCATACCTGTGACTTCAGATTTTGTTAACTGAAGACATGACTGTGAAGTGTATTTTTATATCCGTTGCCCCAGTTAGTTTTAGATTTGCATTGTATCTTGTGAAGAGAGCTTTATTCACACTGCAGCTAACATCTTAAATACAGGCTGCTTTTAGAGCTGACCTGACTTTACACATGTGTACAACTAGTTCTTCAGAGCAGTAAATTCTGCTGGACTTTAAATGAAAAAAATTAAAATCCTGGGGTAAGATACAGACTTCATACTGCTGTCCAGTAGCAAGGAGTATGTCATCTTTATGTTCATAAACTAACAAGTGGGAGATTGTGGTTTAAAATGGAATTGTACTTTTTCCCCGTGGTTGTCTTTTTTTTGTAGATCTCTCCTTGCTTTTAGACTTGCAGATGGTTTGAACTGATTGGCAATGGAATTTTTAACTGTTTTTAGTGATGCATTTGAGAGGTGGGGTTTCTCACTTGTACTTAGTGTGAAGGAATTTCTCAGACTTTTGTGCTGTATTGTTGTGGAGGTCCTCACAGAGACAAGTTGTGAGGTAATCGAAGAGTTGTACAATTATCTTCTAAACCAGTAAAAGGGATTTTTTGCTTTCATATTTGCAGTTCTGACAGTAAGTGTAGGTTGAAACTTACTTGATGCTAAGTGCAAAAAAGGCATGCTCCTAAAATCTCTTATTAAAATATTATGTCAGAAGATACTTTGAAAGAATACTTTTGTTCAAGTGCGTTTGGAGAAAGAATATAATCTCCGTGAGCAGACCTATAATTAGATGTCAGATTAGTCTGTAGCTGTTGAGGTCAGTGACAAATTTATTGTCTTTAAATAGTAAATAATATGCCCAGCATGTACAAGGTGGAGAATAAGTTCCTACCCTGTGGAGTTTCCTCCCTTGTGGAGTTAAAAAAGGGGGGCTGGGGGGGTGGAAGGAAAAGAGGGGTGCTTGGAAAGTAGACCTGCCCTGCATTACCAATACTGTTCACAAATTGCTTCCTTTTGATCAGGTTTTTTTTGCTCTGTTCTGCTACAAAGGGCAACAGACTTGAGGAAAAATACAGGAGACAATAATCATTGGAAAATGTGTTTATTTTGCTGTTTACCTATCTTCTTTGTAAACGTTGTAAGAGATCAATTTTCACTGAATGTGGACAGAATATTAAACACCAGTTAGCTGCTTTTTTACAAATAAAACCTTGAAATTTTGGAATACAGAATGTGCTACACTCCTTGTTACCTTCCATCTCCAAGCTGCTTAGAATAATTGAACTCAACTGCAGAAGGGACTGCGTAATTACTCGGAGCAGACTTAATGTCCAGTTTTAAATATGAGAAATCCTGTAGTGATCAATGCATAGCTACAGCTGGTTGAAGGGGACCAAATCCATTGAAGAGGTGATTTGGTTCCATTTTACCAGCTTTAGCAAAGCATTGGAGTGCAGGAAGGTTATAATTCAGTAATACATTTTTAAGTAACATGAAAAGTTCACAAAGAACACGTGGCTTTCTTCTGTGTTACACATTTGTTTCTAGTCAATGCAAATTTAAATCCTTTCACTAATTTAGAGACAGCAAAATGGAAAACTGTGTACCAGAAAGTCCTGTGCAGTGTCCAGGTTTGTTCCTTCCTTGAGTATTTAATTGAGGCTGTTTGGATGAGTCTCAAATCAAACTATAGTTACAGTTTTAACTTTTTTCTGTCTGCAGT